AAGGTTTCCCAGGCAACATCTGGGGGGAATTCGGTTAAGAAAGTCCAAGATGTATCCTTAACAAGCTTAGATAACACATTGTAGTGTGTGACAGTATGTACTTTAGCATCCTCCTTTTCAGGATACTCCGCGTAGAATATATAGTCAAAGAGCAGAGTAACATGATCATTACGACCCAGTGGTGTACTTGTAACTATGCCGTCAACCATGAGTTCTTCGTTAGTGAACACAAGCTACAGTATCGACGGCTTGTTAGCAGTTCGAAATCTGGTAGGAGGTTACGTGGTTGTACAGTGGGTGTCTAGCCATTAGCTCTTGCAAGCAGTTTTTAAACTGCGTACCGTCGGCTGCCGGTGGTTCTATGTCATGCAGGTTAAAGTGTCCAGCGATAAGAATGTGTGTAGGACTTGTTCAAAGCAAACTGATAACGCCGTTCAGTTTGGTGTCCATTTCCGACGTTGAGTTTGGTGGGCGGTAAATCACGGCTAGTAGAGATGTGTCCTTGTTTCGCAACCACAGGCGGTACCAAAGCGAATCAGGAGCGCGGATTTCTGGGTGATCGATAACTTCACATCTGGGGTTTGTGTTATAACAAAGGATCACATCACCAGCCATTCCGATTCTATTGTTCCGAAGCAGCGACATAGCGGGTAAATTGATCTCAGAATCGGTTATCTCAAGATTCAACCAGGTTTTTGTAATCATGACGAGGTCCCGCGGTTGTGAGGCATGGAGTTCTCTAAGTTCGGCCAACTTACTCAGAATGCCTTGTGCGTTTGTGTACATACAAGATAGGGTTTTTTGTTGTTAGGAGTGTGTTGATGGATGGAGTACCTGTCTGGGACGGTTAGATTATTGAGTGCGCGGTAGTTACCGCAAAGGCACCAGCCATCAGATTTCATAGTAACCATCTGTAGTAGAGATGACAAAGGGCGGATTATACCGAGTTCGAGCATGTGTTTAAACGCCGCCCCAGCCACCTTAAGTTTCGCCGCTGAACGTCGGCGTAAACGAAATGAGACGGGCGGGCCATTCATCCGAATGTGGTGCGTGATTTGGGATGTCACGGGGAGAGCCGCATTCGTTGGCTGTACGAGCTTAGCGTAGCGGAAGGAAAGCTCGATGTAGCCTGGGGATAGAAGTAGACCCTGGTGATAGATGCGATGTCGGTGTTCGTGTCACATATTGAGTTTCATTGCAGGATCAACTGCCTTCTGGCTTTTAACGTCGACTGAGGATACAATGCTTGAAGAAGTCGAAATCGATGGCAAATGGGACTGTGGCAACGATTAATACCCAGCAAAACGTTCGCCAAAGACCTATGTTCAGTGTAAGCGACCGATGACAGTACATGAATATCGGTGTGTCATTGGCAGCAATTAAACTTGTCGGCAGAGTGGTGGTCGGCTCACGGGATGACGCTGACTTCTGTCCCAGATTCATAATCCTTAATGTGGACGAGACTACGTTAAGTTTTACCGACACCGATGGTCGGCAGACTAGTAGTTTCCCTGCTTAGAAGCAGAGAAATTACACAGCTGTTTTGCCGAAACGCGAGTGGTAAAAACAGTAACCTGGATCATTCAGATTCGGGCGACGGAGCGATGATCTAGAGCGACACGCAAGAGACACACCAAGTGTAGAATGACAGAGAGAGGCAGTTGGACCCAAGGTATATTGTGGAGGCTACAAAGAATGGAGAACGAATAAGCAAAAAGTGTGCACGGAATATACAATAGTAGACAGTCAGTGTGTACAAACACTAATAAAATGCAATGTTGTGAACAACTGGGAGTGTATGTTTCCAATTCGACACAGTACCGCATGATGAAGCGCCATGGTGATTATAGCCGATGAGTGGTGTGTGAGTTTGTTGCTCAAGGGTCATATAAACAGATTCAGTATGCGTTGTCACATGATCTAAGGATCATTTAACTGTACAATGAGAGACAGTTTTTCATAATTTTACCCAACGTACTCAGGTAAGCCGGGGGAATCCTCAGACCGCTACATCTTTGCTCAACGGTACACTAACAAGAACTAGCACGTGCATAAACCCTCGATCAGAGACTCATCACTTCCGGTGTTCAGGAGTGCAATTTATCACATTTCCTCATGCAAAGTCGTGACGCATGATGTTCTTGTAAGTAAACCGCGTGCGCTTAATGCGAGAATGGTGCTTGTGGAGCTCCAAAAGCAAAACACTATCTTTCGCGCAAAATTTCATCATTGATCAAGCGCACAATAGACGTTCTTGTTTGACTGCTCTCCCCGCCCCATTCATATCCCTCCAAACTCATCTGATAGGTGAGTTACGGTGCTGGTGCTCGCTCCTGTCTCGCTTCATCCGTTCACTTATTCCTAGAGCCCCGCAAACAAAGTTTGCCGTGTATGATCTCGTCAACTCGGTGGCGTACCATGGTCAGGACTCATCAAGCACTTGCTTTTAGGCCGTAATAAATCAGTGTTCATTATTTACTAGTCTTATTCAAGGAGCCAAGGTGATACCACTTCCTGAGCTTCTAATAGCTAACTAAGGTAATGATATAAGGTTTTACTAACGTTCCAATATTAGTTCAATGAGTATACATAACGTTTCTTGTTTGGTTAACCTCGATCATTTCCTTCATGGAATGTACCACAGATGGCGTCTTTGAAAACAACGAACGGAGCACGAGCATTTGAATACTCCACAGGAAACAGTAGAGGTTAGAAAGAAAGAAAAAAGCCATAAAATGTATATGATTGTACCCCGAAGAAATCCAAGTATACTTCGTTTTTCATGCACAACTGCCTCCCACCTGTCAATATCAGCACGGATTAACTCTTATCCTTATGCGAGACCATGAAATACATGTAACATTTCGGATCTGATCCTGTGTGTGGGATCAGCTTCGTGCAAAAACGAGAATTATATAGTTAGATAATGTAACGAGCGTCAGCTGATGGATTCGCAATTGTGTACTGTCAACACCCATCAGAAAGAGCAAGAGTTTCCAACGCAATTTTCCATCAGTTATTTATCTATTTCCTCCTATTGGACCACTTAAGATGACAGTCCGACACACGCCTGTAATCAGCCTTTGAGTGTCCCCTTATCCTGCGAAGTCTACCCAAAGTACGCATAGATGGGGTACCGTTTCGCCCTATCGTGTCATTATCAGGGGCACCGAAGTATAAACTGTCCAAGGAACACTGGAAACGGCTGAAATACCAAATCGCAGACTCAGAGCATTCAATCAAATCGACAGAGCAATTTATTGGAAAACTCAAGGGAATAACAATAGAAAGAGACGAGTTGATGGTATCCTTTGATGTTACAGCTTTGTTCACATCGATCGACAAGAAGCTGGCAAGGCAAACAATGACGACTCTACTTGAACAACATGGGGCGGCAAATTCGAACAGCAGAATTGAAATCGCCAAAATGGTGGAGTTGTTTGATTTCTGTCTCACCACACACTTCACTTTTATTGCTCAAACGTGCAAACAGTTACTGGTCACGCCAATGGGTTCACCAATCTCTGGACTGGTGGCCGAGGCAGTGATGTAAGCACTGGAACAAAAGGCACTGCCGATGGTGGAGCCCAGACTTTGGGTACGTTACCTGGACGATACTTTTGTCATGCTCAAGCGTTTCAGACTACAAGAAACACGCCATCTGAACAATAATATTTTCCCCGACATCCATTTCACCAAAGAGGAGGAGAGAAACTGTCAGCTGCCATTCTTACACGTGCGCGTGAAAAGACATGCTTCCGGGGCCTTGGAAACAACAGCCTACCGATAATCGACGCACACTGATCAAATCTTAAAGTATCGCAGTAACCATCCGGCCAATTACAAGCGCAGTTGCGTGAGGATACTTTTCAAACGGGCCCAAACACACTGTAGCACGCTGTAGCTGAGGAATGCGGAGGAACACCACCTATTTAACATGTTCCAGCGGAATTCTTACAATAAAAGTCTATTCTACCTTTCCTGAAGTCGAAAAATCAACCACCGCCAGCTTCCGCAGGCGCAACGGAAGAGAAAACATTCGTCCTACCTTACATCCATGGGATTTCTGAGATGGCAGGGAGGCTTTTAAAGGCTCACGGGATCAAGGTTGCACATGAAGCAACGAAAACTATTTGGAGTAAACTTTTCAGGGTAAAAGACTGACTGAGTAGAAAAGAAACATCAGGTGTGATTTACAAAATTTTCTGCAAAAATTGTGGCAAGTACTACGTGGACCAGACAGGGAAGAAACGGCACAAGACTGCATGCACACAGTTTGGCCATCAGCCGTCATGATGAAAGATCCCTAATGTCAGTACCTATGCATGCCGAAGGCCAACAGTTCGATCTGAGGAACGCCAAGATACTTGGAAGAGCAAAGAACCGCAGAGTGCGTGAGTTCCTCGAGGCCAGGCATTCGGGCCAGAACTCAATCAACAAACATCTAGAACTCGAAGAGGTCTACGAAGCTCTGCAGGTGAGGTCAGAAATAAGTACCAGATCGACAGGGCGTAGACGTGGCCACTTGGCCGACCCACGTGAGCCAATCGAAGTTACATTCGAAGCAGGAGACGAGCAATAGTCACTTGGATCTGACATTGGCCTACGAGACTCTGCAAATCAGACCTCTATGGCCGCAGTGAGGATGTTGCCTAGTTTGGCGACGAAAAGTCTGCAACAAAAGTGTCTATCTCGGAGAAGACAACAATCCTCGCTTCTCCATTCTGAGCAATAGGTATTTTCTTATGTTTTATATTATAATATATCAGCTGAGCGGTTCTACTCACCGGCTCATGTGTAATGATGGTGACGATATTTACCTGTAAGAAACTGTTTGTCACGGCCTATGGTAAGGCATTATTGTGAAACGGTTCAAATTTCCATGCTGGGAAAGCTAAATCTTGACACTTACGAAACAATGAAGCTTCCCACGTGAATTTCGTGCCCAAGTGCAATACGCTTCTTGCGTACAAAATTAACATTGATATAGACTAATTAGCGGACACTAACACATTATTGATAACAGTATTGCGTGCAACGAAAGCCAAAAAGTGAAAACCAAAGACATCGTAATGACCCTGGAAAACAGTGGATAAGCGAGAGAACCCGCCGAACTATTGACAGCATTGGAGAAATTTCAATGAAATGTATTACTGAACGTATGTTAAAATAAGGAACCGTCAGCGATTAACGCTAATTTGTCTTCAACTTTTGTGGACACATTTTCAAATCGAGTCGCTTCTTCTGTACAAGCAAATGGCCAACTTGAATAAGTAGCAAGATCTAAGTGGCGTGAAACAGAATAAGCTCTTACCGTGAGCACAATAGCGTTGAGGACAGTTGGTAAACTCCAAGATAAAAGCAGAAAAAGGCCATGACTGTCAAAGTATTGCTCAGTAGCAAAATATCTGCAACAATTAGCCTAGAGAAAGCTTACCTCCAGTACTTCGCTCCCAATTCGTTAAGCCAAGCGGAACAAACACAACCCGACACTGTAGTACTGTGATGAAGTAAACGAGAAACTTACAAACTGCAAACAGAAGTGTAGCTAGGAATGTGGGGTGTTTCCTTCCGCAAATTCCTCCGATCAGGATGGAAGTATGGAAACTGACCAATGCGAATAACCAAGGCTCTTTCATCCAAGGAATCTAAAGAGTGAACTTGTTAGAAAAAAGTTGAAGTACACACAGAAATAATTGCATTTAGAAGCGGAAAGGATGAATCGTTGGCCTCGTACCAACGCGTTGAAGCGCGATTGTGACTCATTGGATAGCTGAAATGTGTCAAAAGCGCAAATAGGTCATTCACACCACTAAATGGTAATTCATTGTGTTCGCTTGTGTTATTCGCATATGAACTCATTGTGCATAAACAACAAGGGTGCAGCAAATTTGAGCTGTGAAAAAGCAAACTTGTCCACCAGTCTGAAGGCTAGTAAGCGTGTCATCAGAACTACGTCAATGATGGGAAAATGGTGTTCAATAAGAAGAAACGAAGGGAATGATTTATTTTTGATGATTCACGCTGAGCTTGCCTTCCTTTCGCTTAAAACAAACCGTGGATCAGAATTGACACCACCAATTTCTATTGATAGCCATAACATCTGAGACTTGGAACAGCTGGGAGTCCGCATCATGTATGTCACAATATGAAAGATGGACAGATCTAGCTGATGCTACACATGAGCTTATATTCTTTATGTTCCTTTCCCATGTCATCAATCGTCCGCCGCGGAAATTTTTCCATTCACCTCCAGTAAATACAAATCGTGCGCAATGAAGGAGACGATCGGCTGGCATGCACAGTCTGTGGTCAAGCCAAGGCAAATGGCGTTGGAGAATAATGCCCCAGAGACGGAATGCTCACAACGAATGCGTCTTCTGAGTTTCGCGTTGCTTATATGGTGCTGCCATCACCCGATCAGTCGTTCGTAAACAGCCATTTTAAAAAGTTGGCAGTCATTGCAAATCTTCCGAACAGGCCAGATCTCGCTGCTGTACAGAATGACAACAGGAACGGTGACTTTGTACGAGCTATTATTGAGTAACGACGCCACAAATGACTCAGATTAGTGAATGCGAGGCAAGCTATAGCAATACGCCATGAGATCTTGGGCTGTGGTGAAGCAACCATTGAGGTAAACAAGGCAAGTAACTAGTTCCAAGAGGTCACCTGTAATGGTCGACGCATCAGCATCATCATTGCCCGTAGGTTAAAGCAAGGAGCACCTTAGCTGTTGTGTCGCAATTCAAAAGGTAAAGCACATGAAAAAAGATAACGAACATTACAGAGCACAAAATAAAACCAAAATTAAGTAATATAATGCTTAGTATCATTATGCGTCCAATGAGATCGTGGTTGGAAAAAAAAGAAACGTGGGAGAGGGAGGGACAAAGAAACTCACAACACAAACACCACTGAGGTAGGCTGTTCGCGATGTCAACAAAGGTATCGAACTACACCTACTCATAGTCCTTGAGACTCCATCCTGGCAGTCAGGAGACCACAACCGATGACAATTTCGAAGTGAGGGTGGTCAATCCTCTTCACCAAGTCGTCAGTTGGTCTCTTCGCTTCTTCTATCAACATCCCCGTAACGGGAGTCGATGTGCTGACAGGCGCAACACTGCTGGCTGGGCCTTTAAATTGGCCATGCCGTTGTCACTGAACCTCATTTTTACAATATCGCTATGGATACATTAGTTTTCTCAGAATATTTCAACATTGGTATAAGTCAAGCTATTTCCTAAGTCACGGCTGCTGTCCTCCGTGTAATTTTTGAGAAAAATTCAAGATACTGCGCAAGTGAAGATAGATGGTCCCGACTGAAAATTTAGCTTGCAACGCTGGCTTTAAATTATTTTGTCCGGAACTGTTTAACAGTTGCTTTTTTACATTGATCGTTTATTCAAGTGGCACTTCACACAGTGTCCTTTTATCCATTGTTACAAATTTAGTTCTGATAATGTACTTTTAGCTCATCCTTTGTTGATATTGTGTTGAAAATGTACCGATCTGGATACATAAAGTTTATTGTGACTTTACTTGAGATAAAGGTGCTAAGCGGTTCGCTCGTCTTTCCCGCACCAAATACGAGACGCCGAACACATTCGTTGCTCAAGCGGTGTTCCCACCAGACATGAGCCAAACCGCGAAGACATCGACGGTAGAACGTAACAAGCCCCTTTTGGTCTGTCTATCAGATAGGCCGAGTTTCGCAACCGTAGAGGAAGGTTGAACGTACGGCTGTGTTGTAAGCTCTGCTCATCAAAGCAAAGGTGATGTCGCACCGGCGCCACAGTTGGCGGATTGGCAAAAGCGCAGCGAGCTTTTGCTATACAGTTCGTGAACTCATCTATTATTCCACGAAAAAAATATAGCTGTCTAAATACTTGAATCCCCGAACGACTTCAAGCTGATTGCCACCAAAGGTCAGTGCAAGGGTGGGTCTCTGCTAATGCTGGAGAAGGACTTAACATTGCAAGGGTGCCAAGTGTGGCCCCAGACGATTGGAAACCATGTAGGCAATTAATTCCCTTCAACAATTTGAAAAGTACAGCAAGAAGAGGACATTTGGAAACACACGCACGTCTACTTCCTGTGGTTGAAAGTCTACCCTTATGCTGTGGGATTGTGTTCGGCAACTTTTACAAAGCCACTCTTGACCGCACGAAACGGAATCGAACCATTCGTCTGGAAAAGTCACTGTCGAATGACCAGGAGCAAGAGCTGATTACTCGTGATCCCAGTAAGTACGTGATGAATTTATCTAATGTCCAGCTTGACACACTGCAACTAGAGGCGCTGTCATTTGGACTCGATTACAAAGTCCCGCCTAGAAGATCAAATGGATTATTCATTGAAGCACAGGTTGAGCACTTTTATGAACAGTTCTAGGTGCTTCAGCCTACCAGCCCTGAAACAAAGACCTGATTTAGGAACAAGTTAACTGATATCACCTACGAGGTCAAAACAGCGCCTATAAATGAAAGATGTGCGCTCACAAGCCGGTATCTTCAAGCGCTGCGTGAACTATGTGCTAAAGAGGTGGTTGTAATGAAACCGGATAAGAGTGCGGGAGTGGTAGTAATGAACAAGCCCGATTACATGCAAAAAGTGGATATAATACTCAACGATGCGAGCAAATTCGAACAGCTCAAGGAGGTAGAAGACGTGACTGAGGTCGAGACGCGCGTTATCCGTCACCTTGATAAGCTTCGCCTCCACCGCGTAATAGATGATGTTACTTATGCCAGTTTAAAGCCCAGTGGCTCAGTTACTGCACATCTGTATGGGCTACCGAAAATACACAAGTGGTGTGCCGCTCCGGTCGATGCTTTCGATGGTAAACGTACCCCAGCATAAACTAGCTGGCTGGTGAAGGTTCTTCCTACACTGAGACAGTTGGTCAACCGGTACAGCCTAAAAGACTCATTTCAACTAATTGATGACTTCGATACGATCAACTTGTCAGACAAGATCATGTGTTCCCTGGATATGGAAACTCTCTTCACTAACGTCGCCCTACATGAGACTGTGGATTATGTGTGCGAACTATCTGAACACTGGCTGTCCAATGTCGATTCCGGCCGAATTACTAAGGGATTCCCTGCTAATGTGCACGGAGAATGTTGATCTCCACTTTCAGAAGACGCCATACCGCCAAGAAGATGGGGTGGCAATGGGCAGCCCACTGGGCCCTTTACTGGCTGATTTCTTTATGCTCATGGTCGATAAAAAATTGTCTACGGAGATAGACCAGCTGCTATACTACAGGCGCTATGTTGATGACATTTTGGCTTTCTGTCCATCTGAGCAGCATATGGCCCGGTTGGTTGAGCGCTTCAACAGTGCACATACCAACTTGCGCGTCACCTGCGAGCTAGAACGAGAAAATTGTCTGTCATTCTTGGAACTTCTCATCAGTCGCAGAGATAACGGACAGGTTAGGAGATCCGTCTACCAAAAGGCAACATGTTCCGGTCAGTACCTGCATTTCACAAGCTTTAGATCAATGCGGTACAAACGGACACTTGTGAAGACCTTATTTAGTCATGCCAGACGACTGTGGTCGGCAGACTAAATGGTGAGTTGGAGCGAATTACAGTCACATAGATGTCAAACGGTTACCCTCTAAGGTTTATAGAGAAGCACAACCAGCCACGAAGACCAAAGGACTTGGTACAGTAGGCAGCGAACAAGAAAGTTTACATCGAATTACCTTTCAAGGGTGATATCGTCACGTTAAGGACCACTAAGCGCCTGATCGCTGCTGCGCATAGGACCTACTATGCTGCTCAGGTCGTCATCATCAACAGAACCAGCAAGTTGCCAGTACCTCATTCGAAGGAAGCTCTGCCAATCGGCGCCAGTTCTCATTGTGTATACCAAGTTACATGTGACTGAGGAGCCAGTTACATTAGCAGGACCGATAGAGCATTGTCTTCTCGGATGAAGGAACACGTATGGAAGTGGATCCTGCGTGGGATAAACGAACGACGTTTTCCTACCCAAGCCGTCGTTGCATAAGCCACCGACATCCTCCATAGGTAAACACCTATTGATTACTGGTCACCGGATGCGGTTCGATACCGCGTTCAGAATTTGCTGCGGAATTCTAATCCGCTATAAAGATTAGCCGAATGCAGCCTATGCTGTGCGTGCATACAGCTAATCGTCAGCCTCAAACTTCCGTGGACATAAAGACCGAATCGTGTTCGCCCATATTGATCCCCAAGTTTGTTCCTCCTTTATTGGTCACCTCCACTATTTGTTTTTGTTTCTCACCAGTTGTTGTCATTGGTACTGGAAAGACAACACGAAAAGCTTGTATCTACCAAATATCGTCTTCCTGCTGTACTTTTCAGGTTGGAAATCAATGCTAATTTGTCGAGTGCTGCTTCGCACGTTCGTGAGCTGGCATAGATTAAGGCAATGTTGTCGGCGTACTCCAAGCCAATAAGTTGATCACCTGAGAGCAGCTCCACACCTTCCAGGTCGTGCCCATTGAACACAGTTCCTATAACTTCGTCCATGACGAAGTTAAACAGGAAAGGTGACAGCGAGCAACCTTGCCTCACATCGACGGACAAATTGAAGGGCGTTGACAGTTTGACGTAAGACCTCATTCTGCAAGAAATACGGGCGTACAGCGCTGTGACGACAATTACACATTTAACGAGAAGACAGTTCCAAAGGGCACATCGATATCTACCGAATCGAAGGTACCTTTGATGTCGCGGAACATGAGTACGGTGGGTCGCCAAGAAATATGGTGGTGTTCCAACAACTGGCGTAATCTGAAGAGGTAGTTAATACATTTTTGATTTCGACAAAACCCGGCATGCTTCTCTCGCATCTGG